TTCGCTCCCGGTGTCCCTGGTCTGCTGGAGACCGTCTCCAGCAGACCAGGGGCACCGGGAGCAGTTTTTCTCGCCCCGGAGGTCGAGGTGGCGGATCGCTGCCTGTGAGCTCCGGGGCGAGAAAGCCCCGTTCGTAAGTGCGTATCCGACGTAAGTCGGGGACTGCCTGTAGATATAGCGATCTGTCGAGCCCTGCAGATGTGTATCCCGGTGTCCCTGGTCTGCTGGAGACCGTCTCCAGCAGACCAGGGGCACCGGGAGCAGTTTTTCTCGCCCCGGAGGTCGAGGTGGCGGATCGCTGCCTGTGAGCTCCGGGGCGAGAAAGCCCCGTTCGTAAGTGCGTATCCGACGTAAGTCGGGGACTGCCTGTAGATATAGCGATCTGTCGAGCCCTGCAGATGTGTAAGGTTGGTTATTATACGTAGAGAAGGGACATTGAATGTTTTGCTCTGCAGTTTACATGACAGGTTGACCACCTTTATAAATAATTTTGTTGCAATTTCTTTTAAGTTGGACAAATGTCTCTGGGCAGTAGAGACCAATAAGTTAACAATATCTGTATTCATATCATCAGGGCTTGACAAACTGCGGCAAAATCTACTCACCAACCCCGCACTGCACATGCGCCAGACCGGCTGAAATCTACTCGCCACAGGCAAGTAGATTCACTGATTTGTCGAGCCCTGTATATTATCAAGTACAGATTCACTGTGCCAAAAAAAGCTTTTTGCTTCCAAATTGTAAACACACACACACACACACACCGTTGCTAAATAACATACATTTACCCAAGTGCTTCCTGTGGCTTTTACCTTCATGTTTCTTTAAACACACAAGTCTACTAAAATGCAATATCAAAAAGGAAACAGACATCTAGATGAGAAGAGTTTCTTTTTTTTATATAATCCTTCCTGGTAATACACTGCCTCACTTCAGACCCACTTACAAGTATACATGTGAGAGTAACCAAACCAGTTATCTACAGATATCACAGACACCTATCCCATAATAATTCTATTTCGATTTAGAACAATCGAGGATTCTTTATCCAGACTTAATATGCAAATTAATTTAACTACATCAAAAGAAGGAAATTATAGTCTATGTCATTAGCCTTAAAAACAAGCTAAACAAGCCTCACTATTGTCCCCTCCTTACGATATACCAGAAGTAATGTAAACCAGAAGCAGGCAATTTCTGATCCAAGAAGTCTTTTTCTATTGTATTGAATAACTGTTCTTTAACATTATTTTAATAAAAAAGCATAAACCTGACACTAAGCATAATAATAATTTATCATTTGTACTGCAGTAGTGCCTAGGACTGAAACCTCCCTCTGCCTTGAAAGAGCTATTTCTGTTGAATAAAAGCTGGGTTGAGTTCAGATGTGTGATATTTAGATCACATTTATTCAATGAAACTGAGTTCCCTTTAGGGATGTGAACAACTAGTCGACTACTTTATCTGATGAGCAAATACTTATTGGATGGTTAACACACTAGTCAAGTAGTTGCTCCCCATTTCCCCCCATCCTTGCTGCCTCTATCAGAAAGAGGCAGCAAGTTGGGAGGTAAAGAGGAGGTGCTTCAAAGGGACTAACTCGCTGACCCTGGAATCCATTCGGTACTGTTGCTTTGAAATGCCTTGGGGATCACAGGGCCAGTGGGGGACTGCTTGAGCCCCCCACTGGCCCAGTGCTCCCTGCAGCACTTTCACCTCAAAGGTGGAGGTGCCCTTATCGACTAATCGAATACTCAATGCAAACTCCATCAACTATTTGATTAGCCAAATAATCTAAATTTAACATCCCTAGTTCCCTACTGGATTTATTCTCTTTAGAAGAACACATGGATCTTTCCAACTGCCAGTATTACAAGCCACATGGTACTGAGTAAAGGAAATACCATATATCATATCTTGACCAGATAAAAAATTTTTTAAAAAGTTAGTTTGCTATTTGGCAGTTACAGTAACATTTGTGGTATTTTCTTACAGGAAGACAAGCACATGGATCGTAAGAGGTACAATACCAGAATTTAAAAACATTAAAATGGGATTGAGATGCCCAATGCCCTTGAAAACAAATGCAAGTCACACAATTCCCTACAAAAGTTTAGGAGCTAGGTACTTCACATCACTGCACTGCCCACTTCAATTTCTACAATCAATTATCTGATTACAACTACACTTTAAAACAGACAGGATATATTTAACGCTCACCTCCTGAACAACCTGCAGATAGGTGTAAAGGGGAGGGTGGCCTTGGACTTCGACTGGTCTAATACTAACCACTTCCTGGAGTTTTTTGGGGGCTTCTAGTTAAACTACATAGGCTGGCAGGTACTAGTGTACACGTCTTCACCTACAGGTATGCACTAGGAGAGACAGATACCACAACAGGAACACATATATTAGAGTAGCGATTAGAATATGAAGAAATTCACAGATGAATAGACAATGCTCTTCTATTGTTACTAACTGATCCAACTCGAGCAAGGAGCCTTAGTAGAGGAAATTAACTCTGGAGTCGCTGCATGTCCATGAGTTAAGTGATGCTTGGGTACAGGTTGAAAAGGGACTGCAATTCTTCAATGCAAATGGCACTACACAGAGGGATCAGAATCCCTTGGGTGCTGTAGCTTTGGGGCAGAAAATATGCATGACCCAACTGGGCCCTATGGGGCCACACCCTTAACTTAGGAAAATGAACTAGGAATCCATGGGCAGATCTCACCAAGCAGATCCCCCACCTTACACATACCTCTAGACTGGCTTCTCCCCTCCCCAAAGCTCCTTCTCCCACCCATCCACCCAGTCCCCTCTTTTCGCTCTCCCAGGCATCATCTTGAAAGCCCACATCAAACCCCTGCCCTGCCAGCAACCCCCACCCAGCCTCCTCCCTGGCAGCCCCCCTCATGCCCAGCCCTCCGCTTTGCTCACCCTCTCTTAACACCCCCTGGCCTCTCTCCAACCCACCCCTTCTGCCAG